AAACTAATTACATTTTTTCTGGATATATTTTTATTTTGTGAAGCAGTTCAAAATGAAGGTAATTTCTTCTATCACTGTCTAGATTATCTCACCCTGGATGTTCTAATGTAAGCAAATGTATTTGGTAAGTGAGCACAACTTTTACTCTTTCTCTCATTCCATAAAGGAAAAATTTCTGAACTAGGAGAAACACTATATCAGTTCCCATGATACACAACAAGCTGGCCGTGCCAATTTAAAATACAAAAAAAAACAGTACATTTCTGCAGTACATGTACATTTTTACAAATGTTTTCTCTTCTGGCTTGGTTTACACTGATACAATGTGTTTCCTGCATCACACCGCATAGCATTTGCACTTATTCATGCAATCTGCTGACAGTGTCAATTAAAAGTTAAAAGATAAGTTCACCTTTGGAACATATAACATGTTCCCATAGCTGCAGCCACGCCCACCGCCCCCCCTCCCTCCCTCTGACAGATAATACGGGGAGAAGTCTCGCTGAACTATCTGTCAGATTTGAAAACAGCACGGCCATGCGGGGCTCTGCCCACATGGCCGCATCATTCATTCACGGGCTTCCGTGAATGAATGAATGAACTGCAAGTCCCGGCAGCCTTAGTGGCGCTGTGGAGCACTGTGGTCGTTCATTGAAGTTTCCTAGCAGAATATCTGCTTGGCCGTATATCCCATATGGCAAGCAGATATTCTGGCAGGTCTGCAGAAGACCTGCATGGCATCAGTGATCTACTGATCGCTGGTGCAATGCTTTCCAGGCTGCTTTGGAGAAAAATAATAAATGCATATTTTATTACCTGCAAAAAAATATGCATCTATTATTTTTGTCCAAAAGGTGAACTAATCTTTCATTAACCATTTCAATACCGTGCAATTTTACACCTTCCTGCCCAGGCCAGTTTTCACGTTTCAGCGCTCTCACACTTTGAATGACAATTGCGCGGTCATACAACATTGTACCCAAACTAAAATTTTATAATTTTCTTCACACAACTAGAGCTTTCTTTTGGTGGTATTTAATCACCGCTGGGGTTTTTATTTTTTGCTAAATTAACAAAAAAAGACCAAAAATTTTGAAAAAAAAAAACACGTTTTTCTTTGTTTCTGTTATAAAAGTTTACAAATAAATAATTGTTCTTCATAAATTTAGGCTGAGATGTATTCTGCTACATGTCTTTGGTGAAAATAACCCAAATTAGGATGTATTTTTTAGTTTGTAGGAAAGTTATACAGTTCACAAACTATGGTATAGATCTGAATATTGATCAATCCATTCACGGTCACAGCAGGTCACATGGTACCAGCAACGGGAGCCGGTACTCGGATCTGTCATCGGCCGTGTCCGAGGTACACGGCCGGTGACAGATCGCACTGCTGCGCCGCTCTGCAGTTGCGCGAACTGAGCATGGTGTGCACCCAGAATGCAGAAGCACTTTTGCCGCCGCCAAACGGCCATTGGCCAGGCGGGAAATGGTTAAAACCCCAAAATCAGGAACTCAGTGTGTTTGCCGGAATTGGATTGCATGGGTATAAACATAATTCCAGTTCGGCAAAAAAAATAAAGGTGCCTGCACCTTTTTTTCTGCGGATGCGGTGCGATTTGAGCCATAAAAAATGCTGGGCTAAAATCGCTCAGCACAGAATCGCATGTGATTTTTATAGGAATGTGGTGTGATTCCTGTGCGAATCACATGCGATGTGACAGTGTAAACAGGGACTTAAATTCCATTTTTGTGGACTGAGTGGTGTCAGCACTGCTAAGTGTCTTTTTCTAAATTACACAAGCACTCCCACACGTGGATCTCTACAACATGAAGGCTTATCATTCTGTAGACAAAGATAAAATCTAGGAGAGCTCGTTGAGATAACACAGGACAGTGCTGAAATTCTGATCAGACCAATTTTTTTTTTTTTTGCACTTCAGATATCAAACAGATATATCAAAATGTGTCCAATCTACCCCAATCTATCTGGATATCACCTATTCTGCCCACGTTTAGGCGATCTCTGACAACCTATCTCTTCAGGAAACCAATCCTGCCTTCAGCTAATAACCAAATCTTCTATTACTCCTACCAGTCCATCCCCCCCAGTTACTACCTTTTGTACCACTAGTCCCTCCCTCTTAGATTGTAAGCTCCGAGGAGCAGGGCCCTCCTAACACTTTTGTATTGAACTGTATTGTTGCTGTATTGTCTCCCGTTATATTGTAAAGCACTGAGCAAACTGTTGGCGCTATACAAATCCTGTATAATAATAATAAAAAAAACAGACCAAATTGGAGCAAATAAGAGAAGTTCATTGTTAGGGGTTTACATATATTGTAAGTTATGCTTTCAGTAAGTATGATGAAGAAAGGTGACAAAGACACTGTATTATCAAATTCATCCAGTGATGGGTTGGCAAGAGATAAGAGGTTCTCCTTGGTTAAAAAGAAAATTATCTATCTGTCTTGGAGCTGAGTCTTCATTGTAGGATGGTCAGAATTGGGCTAGTTCTGTGGATATTCCAGCATTCATGGGGAATATGTTGAGCTTTACACAGGAATATATAGGGCCATCCTTGCACAGAAGGCTGTTGTTCCAGCAATGACCTCCAATGCCTGGGTACACAATCTGCCATATTCACTACATACATCACATTTTAGTACTGACAGTTCTACTGCCCTTGTGTGATGAATAAATGGAGGAGAGTGAAGAGAAAGTACGAAGAAAGTGCATGTATATATTAAAGCCCGTAGAGCATCCACAGAACAGAGCCATGTGTCATTTCACCTGTTTGTGCAGTATTCCAGTGATTCATGCTTTCTGATCTACTATCAATACATTAAAGATGAACGTAGAACTGTAGAAAAGTGATGGCAGGAAAAGACTGAGTGGTACATTGAATCTGCCCGTTGGTTTTTTTTTTGTTTGTTTTTTTATACGTTTTGCAGGGTGTTTTTTTTTTTATACGTTTTGCATTTTTTTTCTGCTGTTTTGTTTTGTTTTCGTTAACTTTTTTGTCTAGTATAGACCTATGTTTGTCCCACACATGTCTGAAGCCATTTACTGTTGACTGGCTCACTACTTCTGCTGCAAGTCTATTCCAAGCATCAACTACCCTTTCAATAAAATAATAAAGATTAGTTTTGAACTTTCCTCCTGTTAGTTTAACATGTTCTTGATTTTTGGTTTTATATTAAAAATTCTGCCCTCCTGAACGATATTCACCCCTTTGATGTATTTAAAGATCTCCCCTTTCCCTTCTTTCCCCCCAGACTGTACATATTAAGTTCCTGAAGTTCTGATATCGAACCAGTTCTTTCTTTAAAAAACTGTAGAAAAGGTTTCATTTTAACATAATCAGTTATCAGTAGGGTGGCTAATGTACAAATTAGCTAATAATAAAGCTGAGACTCAGGTAATGTGTTCCTGCTTTACAGTGCAACTGAACCTCCAACCAAAATAGGGTTCTTGCTTTTAGTTTTGGAGTGTGGAAGGGTTGGCTCCCCTGTCAGTTTTTTTTCTTTTTCTGGCTTCTCTATGCCAAGGAGCTTTCCCCTCACTTCCTATAATGGGGACTAATATTCCCAGGACAGAAACAAAATTTACATCAACGGGAAATCTGTTCAGCACAAAAAATAAAAACTGGATAGAGAACTCAACCCTTCCAAACTACACTAAACACATACTTTTACAGCTGTCTAAATACTAATGGAGAATTACTGTACTCTCACTGTTACCATGACAGAATCAGAGGAAGGAAACACAGATTGCAATAAAGACCTGATGGAGACTCTTCCAAACTATACTAGAACTGCTACCCAAGTTCCTTGTGGAGAGATCTGCCCTCACCAACACAGAAAGTGAAGGAGTCCCTGTTTGAGAGATATGCCCTTAATTTGTGCCCTCCATCACACGAAGCGAGGGGAAATCCTCCAATAGGTTTTGCTGTCACTACTGCAAAAATATAAATTATAAGTAACACTAAGATCATTAGGTCACTGTAGACCATGCTGCCACCCTCATCAGTGCATGAAACTTCTGCAGTACGTGGGAGCAAAAATATTTCTTCCTCTAACTTGGACCTGACCAGCTATGGCATGCTGTTTAACAGAAGATATATCCCATTTGCCGCACATTGATTCAGACCTGCTGGTATGAAGGTAAATGGCAATCTCAGCCCGAACTCGCGCCAGTCCATGCCCTCAACGTGTCTTGTTTTGCCCTTCAGAGCTTAATCATGGACTGTATTAGTGTTATGCAACCAATGTTGATGCAAATTATATTTCATAGAGGTTATAAAAGTGACTTCATGTTACCGGGGGAGGTGTTTTGCACCATAATACATACAGACTGTCATACTGAACACAACTGAAATCTACAAAATGCTACACAAAGGACATAACTGACACATCTGTGAAATGTTGAAGTTTTTACAAAAGCAGTTGTATTTAAGATTTCACCTTGCCATAGCACCACCGTCAAGTCTATCAAATTAGTCCAAATCCATTTACTATACAAATACAAACAAAATTTCATCCGGTGACATGTCACACAGAGTATTTACAAGACATCTTTGCAGTTTAAAGCATGAAATGGATAATAGGATTTGATTGTAGTGCTATTACCGGAAATACACCCATCTGCCAAATATGTGTACGGAATCTTCTAGTATTCCCTGTATGGGATACAGTGCTTGGTGGAATAATTACATTGTAGTTGATAACACATGCAATTCAATTTACAATAGAAAAGGAGAATTGTTCATTTTCACATTAACTTCTCAGTGACCGAGAGATCTACAGTGGTTCCTGTATGGAAGAGACCTGTGCTGCTCGCTTGTGCCATCAGTTATGAGGAAAGCTGCCCAAGAATTCTTCTCTGCTGCTCAGAAGAGGGTTCTGGACATTCTAGGCGCCGGTCCACACTATCAAGCTGCCAAGCCAAGTATCTGCTTCCAGTGTGTTCTACAGAGCTTGATCTCCAGAGGAATATCTCTACCAACTGGCCCGGACAGCTTCAATGTCACTCACCAGATTTTGAGCCAGACATATGCCAAATATCTGCAAGAAAAAGACAAATGCCTAAGCCAGTGTGCAGTGATATGCAAACCGCCTTATTTATATCATCAGCCACACCAAATAAGATGAATAAACATGCAAGTGAATGTCCAGTTTTGTAGCAATAACAATCCCTTCCATGTGAGCTATATACACTGAAAATATTTAAGCAACTTTACTGCACATTTTTGTAGTTGCTGTAACATCTTCTTTTTTTTAAATCCATTGAGGGACACCAAGATTCACAAACAGCTGGATTACACTGCTGCCTATAGAAAGCTTAGGACAATGGCAAAAAGAAAAATAGCCCCCCTCCTGTATAACTTCTTCTGTACCCAGCATGTCTCAGTTTTGTGAGAAAGCAGTACCAGGACAAGCAAAAACACAGGTAGGTGGGACATTTTTTTCGGTAAGTGCAAAAATTGTCTTTCTCAGCCATTGAGGGGTACAGGAATTCAGAAACTGTTGGGATTTCCACATGCAGTCCAACTGAGGGGTGGGCAAAAGCCCCTGACAGGCCCAAAAGGGAACTGGGAACTGTCTGCAGCTCAGAACTGCTGGAAAGACAATGCTTATATCTGAACCAGATGATAAGTTCCTCTGCAAAATGGGAAAACTACCAGTAAACAAGGAAAAGCAACAGAGAATCAACCTGATGTTCAAGACAGGTCAGAAAAGATCATTGTCAAGGGACATGCCCCCACCTAAGGGAACATTGAGTCTTAAACAGCATCAGGCTGTAAACCCCCCAAAAAACCTGATGAGGAAGAAATAGACTAACAATGTGATGTGGTATACAGAAAATGACACTGTGACAAGCCCACATGAGAACAGGTCCATAAGAGCTGATCTATATGTGAAGACCTCACCCTTAGGATCAGGGAAAGAAAGTTCCATGACAGGAATTAAGTTGCCTCGCCAGGCATCAAAATTCACAAATAGGATATCCAAAGAGTGTGAGGATCATCACTCACTGAGACCACTTCATTGGGTGTGGAGGTCTCTGTCTAAGGATGTCAAAAAGCCAATGCAACCCAACACTGTATGGTTGAGAGTAGAACTCTCAGCATCATTTAGTGTAGCAGCCAAGCCACCTGCCCTGTCACAGGGTGGAAACCTTCCTGGAGGTGAAGGTCCTGCAACACCTAGGTGATGTTCAACAGAGTTCACCTCCAGAAGCCAACTCCCCAATGAACAGGGGACTATCTGTTCTGGGGAGCCAGACATAAACCACAGGTATGGGTATACCTTAGCAAGTGGAGTCTTCCTGGGGCAAGGAAAAAAAAAAACCCCAAGAAACTGAAAAAAACTGGGTCAAGCCAGGTACTTCCTGTGACAAACGTGGGTCAGACCACTGCCCTTTTCACTGATTTGTGACAAATTACTGGTCAACCTCACACCTGATTGCAACACTGACACTCTCAGCCTCACCTGCACAACAACTGTCCAGCCTGCTGGACCACAACTGAAGGGACAACAGGCTGAGAGTGATTGTCACTGGGTTTAGTTAACTAAGCAATTAACTCTCTAAACTATCACCACCTACTTTTTTTTACTGAGAAGTAGAGAACGTTCCCAATGTTAGCAATATCAACTATGATTTTAGAATAAACGTCTGTAACACACACACTGTCACCACAGACAGGTATATTCAGAGATTTACACTACAGTAGTGCTCTTCAGGAGACAGGGATGCTTTTGTTTGTATTAGAGCATTAGAGACAGTTTTATAATATTTCAAAATATGGTTTAATAATGAAAAGGTAAAAATGGTGTACATAAAATATTTACAGAAAAAAAGGCATTACAAGAAAACAAAGAGACAGCAAGGCAATGGAGTTTCAGCAGACTTCAGTCAATGAGCAAGGTGATATACAAGTGAAACTCGGAAAATTAGAATATTGTGCAAAAGTTCATTTATTTCAGTAATGCAACTTAAAAGGTGAAACTAATATATGAGATAGACTCATTACATGCAAAGCAAGATAGTTCAAGCCGTGATTTGTCATAACTGTGATGATTATGGCTTACAGCTCATGAAAACCCCAAATCCACAATCTCAGAAAATTAGAATATTACATGCAATCAATAAAACAGGGATTGTACATAGAACAATATCGGACCTCTGAAAAGTATAAGCATGCATATGTACTCAGTACTTGGTTTGGGCCCCTTTTGCAGCAATTACTGCCTCAATGCGGCGTGGCATGGAAGCTATCAGCCCGTGGCACTGCTGAGGTGTTATGGAAGACCAGGATGCTTCAATAGCAGCCTTCAACTCTTCTGCATTGTTCGGTCTCATGTCTCTCATCTTTCTCTTGGCAATGCCCCATAGATTCTCTATGGGGTTCAGGTCAGGCGAGTTTGCTGGCCAATCAAGCACAGTAATTCCGCAGTCATTGAACCAGGTTTTGGTGCTTTTGGCAGCGTGGGAAGGTGCCAAGTCCTGCATAAAGCTCGTCTGCGGAAGGAAGCATGAAGTGCTCCAAAATCTCCTGATAGATGGCTGTGTTGACCCTGGACTTAATGAAGCACAGTGGACCAACACCAGCAGATGACATGGCTCCCCAAATCAACACAGACTGTGGAAACTTCACACTGGACTTCAAGCATCTTGCAGTGTGTGCCTCTCCATTCTTCCTCCATACTCTGGGTCCTTGGTTTCCAAATGAGATGCAAAAGTTGCTCTCATTAGAAAAGAGGACTTTGGACCACTGAGCAACAGACCAGGTCTGTTTTTCTTTAGCCCAGAGTCTATCTCATGTATTAGTTTCACCTTTTAAGTTGCATTACTGAAATAAATGAACTTTTGCACAATATTCTAATTTTTCACCTGTATTGGTTTCATAACTTGACAGATCTTCCTTTGTTTGATGGCACACGAGAGCTGAAAACTGCAAGGACAGCCTCCTTTTCTTGCTTGGGAGGGGAATGTTGTCAGAAATGATCTGACCAATTACCAAGTCAAAGGTATGGCTGCTGGAATGTCACTGTGTTTATGACCAGGGCCCAGATACAGTTTTCTATAGGTATTCATTTGTTTGAATAACTACGTTACAGTCTGCTAACTTGCATATTATTCTACAGCATTGAACAGTTTTATGAGGCACTGAGACATGTACTGGGGTTAGATTCTGCTAGTCTTATTAACAGACTGATAAGAGGTGTTTGAAATGCAAGAGATTGTGGGTTTTAAAACCTGAAGGAGAAGAGAGGGGGAAAGATCACTGTGGCTATGTCTCTTCTGACAAAATGGCTTGGATGAATTGAGACTTGAACAAAATGGCTGTCAAATACAACTTTTCATGGGTCCAATGCATATGACCTTTACACTTCCGGGTTCATAGAGACCATCTGGATGTGTCACCCCGGGTCCAGGCACCCAAAGTGTAGGAGGAGGAGACTGAAAAGGATTGAGAGTCATCAAGAGAAAAGGGGGGGACTATGTTAAAAGGGTATTCCTTCAACACCCTACTAGACTCTGAGGAACATTTTCTTGACAGTTAATGAAGGGTCCAATGACACACAGGGTGTAGACTTCTTTAGCAGGACATCCTCAATGGGGATGTTAGGAAAGGGCACTAGGGTGAACATAAGCCGGTGCTTTGAGAAGTAGCAAGTGCTCCTGAAGGAAACAAAATCTAGGTCCTTGTTAAGAAAGGGAGCAGTAGAAACTGGTCCCAGCTGACTTTGTAGGTCATAGGATCCCTCTGGAGAAGTTGAATGTGAGGGATACCAGGTACCACAAGGGGTTAAACAGTATCTGAGAACGTCTGAAGAAAAGAGTGTAATCTTAGGTGTAGGGTACTCCCAAAGCCAAATTCTCACTTAACCAGGTACAATGGGTTTCCTGAGTGCAGGGAACTCAGCATGACCTGGTAAGATACACTGCCTATGCAGGGGATGGTGCTGGTGAGCGCTTAGAGCCTCTGCAGACAGGGTGCCCTAGTAGCTGAGCACAAACAGTTAAGAAGACCTCAGTGGATAAGATGTACCTCAGCCTCAAGTGATAGAACTGAGGAAGGCTCAGATGAAGATAACCCTATAATGATACGGGCCTCAGGTTATAGATAACAAGTATGTGGTCCTTCTGGGGATACTGAGTAAACATCCCTAGAACCACTAGGGAAGTATGTAACCTTTACACTTAGTAGTGGGGTTGTCCTCTCTGTGTTTTGGCAAATGCCTTTTGTTCAGCCATAATGGAACGAGGCACAATATGAAGCCTTGAGTATTCAGAAACCAAGGCAGCTGATGCTGAATGAGGATTGTATATGGCAGGTGGCTACCAGGTCGCTATAAGTGGGCAGTGGAAATAGACCAGAGACTGAAGATCCGTATGGTGCTTCTGGAGCAGCAGCAGGATGACGGTTCCTCCAGGCTGAATAATGGGGAAGAGCAGTCCCTCATCCCTAATCCCTTACTGTAGTAAAACGAACAGTGGCAGGAAATTTGAAAAGACTCTAAATGGTGCAAAGAGTGAGGAAGCTCTCTGTGCTGTGAACAGCCTTGCTCACAACGTAAGAGTAAAAGACAGGGTCACACCTGGTGCTCTGCCACAACTTTGGACATGAAAAGGGCTTCCCCTCTAACCCAGCATATTCTGGTCTGGAAACAGCCAAAATACAGATCCCAGTGCCCAAAAGCAACATGCCAGGCAGGCCCCACACATCCATTTCAGCAGGGTCTACTTTTGGCATCGAATGTGAGGCTGAGGAAACACTCTCTCTATATAGAGAGCAGCTGAAGAAGTTGTGTCAGCAAAGATTGAAATTACTGAGGACATAAATTCAATGGAAAAATTAGGACACAAAAACTGGAGACATGCTGGGTCTTTGAAAAGTATTTCAGGAAAATGTAAATGCCCATTACAGGGGATGTTCCTAATGCAGTCTCCATCTCTGTGCAGACGTCTAGGGAAAAACAGTGAGCGGAGCACATCTGTTCACAGAAAACCCTCATACCATCATAACTTCCATTAAGCAATTTTACAGTAGTATTTG